CGCGCCCGTGCCTCTGCGCATGCTCTATACGTCAGCTTCTGGTACTTTCGACCCGTCAGCCGCCGCCCGGGTCAGTTCGCGTCCGGATAGCGAAGGAGTTGCTTGAGGTTACGTTACTGCAGGGCAGCTGCGAAAGCCCCTCTTCGTCTTCAGGTGTGAAAGGAAGGCGTCCCGTGGAACTTTCTCTTCATCGTGAGGCGTCGGCGGTCTGTGGTAAGTTTTTCGGTGACGGGACGGACCCCCAGAAATCTCAGCGGGGAAGGCAGGGAGAGTGCGGGCCCGTGCGCGGCGCCCCACGAGGGCCTGGAGGCGGGCGGGAAGGATGGTGTCTGGTGCCCGCTTTTGGCGCGATTGGTTTGCTTTCTTGGGGTTCCGCCGTTCCCCGCGGGCCTTACTTCTGGGACTAAACTCCTTTTCTCCCTTTGTTTTTAGGAACCAAGTGTTGGGTAAGGATCCTCAAAGGCCAGGAAGCTTCAACCGCAGGCGCAGATGTCCAACTACGTGAACGACATGTGGCCCGGCTCGCCGCAGGAGCCCCAGTCGACGCCGGGCCGGTCCAGCCGGCTGTCCTCGGCGACCCGCAGCCGCTCTTACAGGAGCTCGCGGTCCCGTTCCAGCGTTTCCAGCCGTTGGTCGTCCAGGAGTCGGAGCCGGCCCCGGTGCAGGAACAGGTCCAGGTCTAGGTCTCGTTCCCGAAGGCGCCACCAGAGGAAGTACAGGCGCTACTCGCGGTCGTACTCGCGGAGCCGGTCGCGATCCCGCAGCCGTCGCGGCTACTGGGAGAGGCGCTCCGGTCCCTCCAGGAGATACTACGGGTCTCCCTCGCCAGGCCGGTCCCGCAGCCGGTCCCGTTCTCGGGGACGGTCGTATTACCGAAGAGCCTATGCGATAACGCGGGGGCGACGCTCCTACGGCTTTGGTCGCACGGTGTACCCGGAGGAGCCCAGGAGTTGGCGTGCGAGGTCCAAGACGAGGTCGCGGAGCCCAACGCCCTTTCGCTTGAGTGAAAAAGGTAAGTCGGTTCGGGTAGAGAGGCGCGCGATTAACTCTTGGCATCTTTTTATACGTGTGGCACAGACAGTATGAGTAGGCTAGGGAACCAGAATTGCTTTGTAGTTTTAATATTTTTCTTTAGTGCCTGAAATCTTAATATTTTCCTTGGAAGGAGAGGGTGGGCTGCAGGCTAATAGTTAAAACCACACTTTAGTTGACGCTTAGTTTTTAAATTGGACACTATTTCTCCTTGCGGTTAAGTTGTAGAGTTAAATGTTTGGGGCGGAAGTAACGTTTACTTCCGGTAGCTGGCAGTTCTTGGTGGAGTCTTCTAAATGGTTGACTTAGTTGTTTACTGGCTCTAAGTTCCTGCTAATTGAACCAGAAGAATAATATAAAAGCACTTTCTTTTAAAAAGTTAATACTGTATTACTGAAAAAATTGGATTTTGTTCCAGTGTTTTAAAACAAATGACTTCGGTAGGATCATACAACAGAAAGGATTACATCTTTATTTTTGTTTTTTTTTAAAATAAAACACAAGCTTATTTTGTGATTGAGTCCTCTTGGGGGAATATTACAGGTTTAATGTGTATTTTGTATTTCTTTTGTAGATCGAATGGAGCTTTTAGAAATAGCAAAAGCCAATGCAGCAAAAGCCTTAGGAACAGCCAACTTTGAATTGCCCCCTAGTCTCAGAACTGTTCTTGTATCTAAAGAAACAAACTGTGGAACAGCTGTACCAAATAATGGTGCAAAGTTTGAGGTAAGTATTCTAGATTTATTCAGACTAAATCTTCTGAAAGCTAATGCCAGAAAGATCTGACTAGCCATTTTTATTTGATTTACTTTAGGCTACTTTTTGGAAAGCTTGCTAAATATAATTTCTTAAAATCAAAAAAGCAGATCTGACAGTATTAGAGGTGGTCTCCTCCCTCAAAAATGGGAGATTAACGAAATTTATTTTGAGTTGACACGGTATTAGTTACCTTCATAATTGTAGCTGGTGTTTTGGTGATTTCTATATAATTACCAAATTTTCGTAACTATTTACAGAGTGTTTGTAGCTTTCATTTGCAGCGTTTTGCTCCCACAAATTCTGTACTCAACATACAGTATAGTTTATCTGCTTTATTTCTGTCTTATAGAAATCATGAATGAGGTCTCCAGACATTGATGAAGAAAATCTGTTGGTAATTGATAACATGGGCATAAGCATCAGAGGTTTTAACTAATTTGAAGTTTATGTTCATACACTGAAAGCTTAGTTTTTCGTTGATAGATCCATGTGCATGCTAGAACTTGGGATAGTGTACTATTTGGATAAGATACTAAAGACAGTTTGAAACTAAAGTACACTTTGTAATGATGGGCATCTGTGATATAGATAGATGTCCCTTTCATAATATATGCAATATATTCCAGATGTTTTGAGAGATTACAGAAGAAGAGGCCTGCTTCACTTGCAGATAAGTTTGTTATAATTCTCCAGAAATGTGCAGGATATGCATTGGCAAATTGCACTGTGCTTTTAATGTGAAACACAAAGGATAAAATTCATAACTTTAAAGGTAGTTAGAAATTGATAGAATCATTTAAAACAGGAAAGTTGTCTAGATGAACCTGTCATTCAGGCCCATATGTGAATGGATATGCTTAAGTAGTAGTAGACAGAGTCTTAGTTGAGTTGCTTTTTCAGATGATTAGGTTTCCAGCAGGCAAATGCCTTAGTTCTTTGAAGCTAGTTATTTTCTGATATGACTTTAACTTTCAAAGTTACTCGAACTGTTATCGGGGAATCCAATACTGTTTTATGGGGAAGAATGTCTTAGGCCTAATATTGGACCAGTTTTATGCTCAGCAGAGTACAGTATTGTTTAGACTGTTAATTATATGGTTATATTCAACTTGATGTGGGTCTCTACAACTAAATTTATAATTGGGTTACATTGTATATAGTACTGTAAACCAAAGGTATGGTTTAAAAAAAATGTATTTTCTCTTACCTGTCTAGCTATCGGAAAAGCTAACAGAAGATGGAACTAAAAATCCTAATGAAAAGGCTTCCCAGCAAAAAACTATAGCTTTTAGCTCAAATGTAAGTATAATTAAGCATTGACTAAAAAATTAGACTTAAAACATAGTCATTATGTGGGCTTATATTTTTGTTGGAAGGCTTATTGATTTTTGTGGTGATAATTTGGGGCCTCCTAAGCCACTTTACAAATAGAATTAATCTTTCATTTGTGCCACTTTTACAAGTGACCAATGAAATAGGCTCTTTACATATCTCAAGTCCTCATTTTTGGTTTCAATATTTTGTCATTATTTTTAAATGTTCTCTTACATTTTTTAAATTGTTGGAATATTTTTAAAAAAATCTCAAAACCCTGTGATTTGAATATTTAAAATCAGCTAAGGGTTGAAAAAACGAAAGTCTCAAAACTATTTTAACACCTCACTATTGTAATATGCCTTGCATATGTCTGATTTTACCTGGTAGTTTCTTGGCCTAACAGTTTGATTGAATCAGGTTTAGAAATGAGGTCCATGTTTTGAATTTGGTTGGTATTTCAAGTTTCAATCTTGAATTAGTGTATTTTGTAAAAAGCAAATATTAGAGTATATACAATGTGTGTCTGGAAAGCTGACTTAATTTGTTCTCTTACAGAATTCTGTAGCAAAGCCAATGCTTCAGAAACGAGCTAAAGCTACTGCTGAAGAGATCTCCTCAGGATCCCCAAAAATAGAACATAAAAAAAGTCCATATGATTTGTGGAAACCTGTTTGAAAAGGAAGACTAATGGCTAAGGTTACTTGAAATGCACTTTATCGCAAGTTTGTTTCTAGCATTATTTCATTACTGTGAGCAATTTAATGGAAATTACTGAATTACAGACAACACCAAAAGACAGTAAATACTTCACATTTAAATAACATTTTAGATTTCTCTTACAGATGTGCGATAATAGAGATGGACCAGAGGGTTTCGTACAGGTGGGAGTCTTGTAAATACATTTCATCTTTTATGTAATAGCGATTGGTTATATAGAAGTAAAATTTCTAAGACACAGCGATTAAACTGTGTTCATGTTGTATATATGTATTAATAAAATTTTTGTTTTTCTTATTTTAGTCTCACTTTATTATGTATACATTATATATGGGTCTTTATTTAATAAAGAAGAATAAGGAGGTGTGTGTTGTTTAAAGCCTTGCTAATCCGAAATCCATGGACTGACAGCACAGGGCTCACTGACCTTACCTGAGAGTGTGTGAGAAATGCTGAATCTCAATTCTCCATTCTAGACTTGAAGTAGAACCTGAATCTTAATATTCCCAGCTGATGTGGATATTAACATTTGAAAAGTCTGGCCTAAGTTTTATGGAATACTGGCATAGTGTGATCCTGGAAGAGTTACACTGAGAGCTTCAGGCAGGTAATTCAGCCAGAGAGGCTGAAATGTAAATGCCTCATTGAGCTATAAAATCTGTGAGGTTTAGTTACATATCTTTATTGTACTTTATTCTAAAAAACTCTTTAGTTTGAAATTCTTTAATGCTGTAGCTGGGAAGGAACTAAGCACATAAAATTTTAAAAATGAGTGTTGGCTACAAACTGAAAGCTTTAGACAGCTGATGTAAATAGACTAATTACAGACAATAGTTTTGTCCTTTAATACCTATTAGTGGACACTAAAAATCTGGAAAGATTTAAGCCATTTTTAGGTTAATCTTGACAAGTGTTATTTGAATTATTAGATCATATGTTTGAATTGAACATAAGATGCCAGCCAGCTTAATGAATTTATTGTGCCTGTTTGCTTGGGCCTAGCAACAAAATATATCTTGGTAGAACCTAGACAAAGAATAAAAATTCCAGTGGACAAAACATGCACAAGGTTTTATACTAGTGTTTGTTTTGACAACCATCTTTATAGTTATGGGTATGTTTTTCTTAAGGTTTCCTCCTTTGCCACCATCTAGAACAGCTTAAATTTAAAAAATAACAAATTTCTAATAGGCGGGGATAACAAGTGAGAGATGATGGCCAGAAGATCAGCGGCAAAATAAAGCAGGGAAGGGACACCAAAAAATTAGATCAATAGATGAGCAGGCTGAAGTTAAAATTTTAAGTAGAAGTCGGCTTTTTAAATGGTGAAGGTCTTCTAGTGGGACTTAATAAATTACTATTAACTAAAGCTATGCCATCACTATTTTACTTGCACTTTTCAATAAGGTAGCCACTGGCCACATGTAGTTAAAATTTAGTTCCTCAGTCATACTAGCTACTTCTCAAGTATTCATTAGCTATATGTGGCTAGTGGCTATCTTATAGGAAATTACAGATAATAGTATTTTTGTCATAGAATGTTTTATTGGATAGAGCTCTAAAGTTCTGACCCAATGAAGAATTTAAATGAACAATGACTTAGATATGTACATTCCTAAACATACAGTTCCTGTTATTTTTATAGCTTTGGTCACATTCTTATTCCTCAAGCCAGTAGTACTTATTTGAATAAGGGGAATTTCCTGGAGGAAGGGGTTGCTGCTCTGGGTAAACATGTTCATTTCACATCTAAGTTAATGAGTTATTGGGAGGGTAATATTTTCCTAAAGGGGTAAGTAAGTACATGGTTAGGTTCGTTTTTATTCTGAGACCTGAGAATATTGGTAGATGCCTGGTTATAGCAAAGAGAAAACAGGACTGATTGGTTTTAAGATTTGTAACTGAAAATGTGGTTAAGCAGAGTACCATGTTGGTAACCTCAGTAAAGTTGCAGAACTTAAGGACTTTAAGGGAAACTTGACAATACTAAAATCTTTTTCACCTTCACTTAGCTGGTCACAAAGTACCCACTCTGATTATGACCTGTGTTTACATACTAGCCACTTAACAGCTAAGTGACTACTTCAAACCCCTTAGGTCTGGCTAGTTGCTTTGGATGTGTGCCACTCTAAGATTCACTTCTATAGGGAGCTTTCTTGTCAGCTGCCTTCACTATCAGCTTCAGCCCATTAACATGCTTGAGACTTACCTATTTCCTCTTGGATTTGTATTATGTCTTTTGACTCATTTTCTCTTTACTTCCCAGTATCCTGAAAATATAGTCTTTTCTTTTTTTCCCCATAATCCATCCTTGTCTAATGACCTTGTTGGTTTGGCTTTGTAATACAGAAAACTGCATACTCCTAGACTGATTGTCATTATATAAGTGGGATACAATTGCTCAAGTGTAATACCCTGTTACTATATAATCTGGACAAGATAGTCATGTGCTGCTTAACCACAGGGATATGTTCTGAGAATTGCATAGTTAGGTGATTTCATCATGTGCAAACAGAGCGGCACTTACACAAATCCAGATGGTATAGTCTACTACACACCTAGGGTATATGGTATAGCCTATTGTTCCTAGACTACAATCCTGTATAGCATGTTACTGTACAAAATAAGATTAAATCCAGCATGAGAATAATGCAATCGAGATGTGAACATGATTTAACATGGCATACTGTTTTAAAGCAAACTCATAAGTTAGAGTATATTGTAGATTAAAAATACACTAAATACATAAATCGGTAACAGTTCTGTTCAAAACCGACAGGGCATAGACATTAAGCACACACTTTCGACACAAAAATACAAGGCAAGTTTTTCTAAAAAGAAATATATAGGCATGAAAATACACACATTAATAGAACACTTAAATTATAAAAGGAAAGATAGAGACAGTCCTGCCTTACTGGTACAATTTGGCAAAACAGTTCCTGAAGGAGATTAGACAGTTAAGACAATTTTGTTTAATTTCAGCTATATATTTCCTATAGAATTTTTCTGCTTTGTTGAATTTGGCATTCCTTTAATGTAGTTGATATCGGCAACGTCAGTATAAGGTCATCTCTGACTAAATTTGTCTCATTTTTCAATTCTGTAATGGAAACATACATAATTAAAAACTGCTTTCTTTTTTGGTCTTCATAGTTAAGACTGAAAGCAACGTCTTTAGAAAACCATTCTACAAAAAGAAATGTTCAATGAACTTTCCTGAATTTCATTTTATAAATTAACAGTACTGCCAGATGATCTGGCTGAAGTTTGGGAAATAACACAGGTTCACGTTGAAATATGAAGGGAATAATACACACTATTTTGATAGAATTTTTATACTTTGTTGATTCTAATAATTATCCCATTCAAAACAAATATAAATGAAAGTGGTGGTGAGTGGAACCATTCTTCAAACTAATATTTCAAGTGTTCCTTAATTTCTGTCAAGTTGCTACACTTCAAGACCGTAAAGTTAATTTTGTCATCTGGCATGAAATCAGTATGAAAACTTTAGGTTGCATTTGTAGTTCTTACTGCTTTTCCAAATCTATGACCATCCTATCAGTTTCCTCTATGGAAGGCACATGTGTTCCATGAAGAAGACTCTTAGGTGTTGGGTAGAACTCTCCGCTGAGAAAGAGCAAGGTGGTTAGTAACTCCGAAGATCCTGTATCTTCAGATTAAACAACATTTAGTGGTCAAAAATAGAAAACTTTGGGATCATACTTGATTTCGAGAAATAGAATTTAGACTCGAAAAAGGTATTTTGAGAAATCATCTACTCCAATGCCTATATGAGTTAGCTGAGGACCAGTAGGCTACTGGACTTATCCAACCGAGTTCATACGGTGGAAGATCTTTAATGAGAACTCTCTGTGCTCTGCACAATTTATAGCTCTCTCCACTCTGCTATACTATTGCTATTAAAATAGTCATGATTTAAGCAGACTACCTGTCATATAAT